ATTTTCTTAGCCATAAATGACCCATATCCAACCAACATAGAATATAACACTCATGAGAAATAAGGCAAGCTGAATAACTACCATAAAAGCACCATGAGTAACCATCAACAAAGAAGCCACTGTTATGAGTAACCTTAAAATATCGAGCTTCATCCTTATTGTCATTAGTCAGACGTACAAACCACAAGAATTAACAAAAAAACCACAATGTCGAATATGAACAACAACCGTTGCTTTAAGATTTGAGGTTGAGCAGTAAGTAGTAGTCTCTAGATTTACTTTTTTAAAAAAGTTTTAATTGACAAAGCGAGAGAGAGATTACAACCAAGAAGGATCCTTGCCGAATCTTTTTTCTGGAAATCCCGTGATCGTGGTCCTTCATCGTATATCGCGCGGTTATAAATTATTTGAAATTTAAATTTTAAAATTAAATATAAATAGTATCTAACGAAAACTGACCGCACATGAACGACTTTGATTACGGAATTCCCGGGAACCTCAGGAAAATGATCCTCGGATATCTTCGGCAGAACAAAAGAGCGACAAGAAGGAAAACAAAAAGGAAATGGGAGGGAAGCGAGTAAGAGGGATTGCCTCTGATCAGAATGGGAACAAGTTAAAAAGAGTTGGAGTAGTTGACGATTGATTGTTTTTTTTTTTTTTTTTTTTCTGTGTAATATTAGAGTTTTTGTTTTTTATTTATTTATTGATATGGTAAATCAAGAAACAACTGTTATCCTCATTCTAGATGTTTATTCTCATTTCTCACATAAATGTATTTTTATTTCTATAGATAAAAAGTTTGAGTGCAAATAATATTCTTTTTTATTTATTTATTAACAATAGCGTTAGAGAGTTAAATTGTTAAATGTTGCGAATAAGGGGAATCAACCGGATCAAATATACACTAGAGTGCATAGACATTATTACTTTCCACCATTGTGGTAAAGCGCCATATGCACAACACCGTATTTTATTTGCTATAACAATTTCTTGTGGTTTTCATTATGAGAAATATTAAGTTTTTTCTTTCTTTTTCTGGGTAATAAACGTCGACATGCATGTTATTAAATCAATTTAGTATCACGAATTAGCTTGATGAGGGTACCCAATGAATTAAAATCCCGGCTTAGCCTATTTGTATTTGATTGTTTTTTGTGTCCAATGCTTGTGGTCGCTCTTCATGTCTTGTGTAATGATGGTCCCCCGTGTCCTCATTAGTTTTGCTGTGGTGGTGTTTTGAGGTGACACCTTTACTTCAACCTCTTCATGTCTTATGTAATGATGGTCTCCCGTGTCCTCATTAGTTTTGTTGTGGTGGTGTTTTGGGGTGACACTTTTACTTGGTTGAAGTGTTTATTGGTTGTATCCCCTTTCACTGCCTTGTTCTTGGTTGGTCTATCATGGTGTTTGCCTCGTGGTAGGTTTTCTTGTACCTGTTTTCGCTTCTTAGCCTTGGAATGTGAATTCCTAGCTTTCAAATAAAAATAAAAAATAATAAAAAAAAAGGTTGGTCTATCATGGTGTTTGCCTCGTGGTAGGCTTTCTTGTACCTGTTTTTGCTTCTTAGCCTTGGAATGTGAATTCCTAGCTTTCAAAGAAGAAAAAAAAAAAAAAAAAAAAAAAAAAAACAGGATGGACTAAAATGCTGTTGGCCGCTATGTGGTTCACAAGTTGAAACTTTCTAGAGCCAAGGAAACGAGTTAGTCATCAAAATCCACTTTTCTAATTAGAACTTCCAAAATCTACAAAACTGCAGCGCGAGAATTATTGTTATACATACTTGGATTTTGAATTGTTTAAACATACTTTTCTTTGTTGGCTAAGAGTAGGCGACTAATTCACGTTAAGTTGTGGAATAGCCAATATGTGGCTTTTGTTTAGCTGTTGTTTTCAGGCACGGACTTTTCTTTAGTGTTAGATCATTGGTGGGCTGCCTATTGTATACCTAATTGTACGATGAAAATGACAACGAGGATGGTCCCATGTCTTAAAATGTAAACACATCAGCATACATAGGAAGTTGGGATTTCTATCTTCTACATATAATATGTTAACACACTAACACATCTACATTATTGGTTTAGGTCCATTAGGGTTTAGAATTTGCCTCTAAATCCTAATTGTTTAAGGTCCCAAAATCCTAATCTAGTCTAGTATATGCCTTAAATAAGTTGAATGCTGAAGACCTAAATAATTGTCAAAAGGAGTTCTCATACAAGTAGTATACTACTTTCTTGAGTCATTTAGTACTACGGTCTAGTGGTATTCCTTTTCATTTGTAAGTGAGAGGTCTGAGGTTTGATTCTTGCCAAATGAAAATTTAAACCACATTATTGTTAGCTTATTATGAGGTTTAGCTCACTCCCCTACTCTTTAATATAAATAATATTGTTTGTTAAAAGAAAATGCTACTTTCTTGGGATTTTAGGACCAACAAAATTAAGTGATCCAAAATGGACCTGGCTTCTATGCTCTCCGAGTTCCCATATACTCCCTTCCCCTCCTATTTGTGTGGTCACGGTTAAGCCATGTCAACATTTTATATCACTATTACCTTTTGTCTTATTATCTTTATAAAAAAAATCAATATAAAATGTTAACGTGACTTAATGGTGATCGTAAAAAATAAAAGGAAATGTGAAAGTATGGAAACTGGAAGGGAAGAGAAGCGGGATTCATCCAAAATTGCAGGCTAAAGCTGGAACCAGTCCGAGCCACGAGTTCTTAACATTCGAGTCTCTTCAAAGTTCCACATACGTCATGGATTGCGTGTACTAAAACATGCACAACCACAGCGAATAAATAAAGAAATTAAAGAGAAAAAGAGGCTTATTAACATGATAAGTTGGAAAAAGAAAAAAGAAGAGAAAAATCACCCCTTAATTATTGCAGTACAATTCTCCTACATATGATTGACTCTTGATAGAAAGAAACAAAAAACTTGATCATTATTTTTTTTTTATATATTATGTATGATGATGATGAGGGTTAAAGCCGCTTCTTTGTATCTTAATTTCTTGGCGTGCAAAGGCAACGCAACACAAATTCCAATAAGCTTAATAACGCTAATTCCGCCTTAATTTGATTTGAGGAGCCAATCGAGAGAGAGACGGAAATTGCAGGGTGAAGTGAGGGCAACTGAGTGAACTGAAAAGAAGGATGGGTAGACGGATGGATGGTGAAGTGAAGAACATCATTGCTAATTGCTATAATACCGTGTTATTCCCTGGCATGGGCCATGAGTCACCATAATCCAAAAAGGACTAGTCACATGTCACCACCTCAATATGTTGTCATGATTCCAAAAATCCAAAATCAATCCTTCTCTGTTTGTCTATCACTCTCGTCATTATCGTTTTAATTTTGGACGATAATTACTTGATGCCTTTTAATTCCTCTTAAACAATTTTTCAATCAATTAGTTTGATTTTCGTTTTTAATAATCAAACGATATTAGAAAATGAAAGATTGGAACTTAAACCTTCAAACATATGAATAGACTTCAACTAGAGTTGCAAAACCTACCTATATTTGTACAATATCTACTAGTTATATTAATTTTTCATAGTACGATTCACCCATGCATGCTATGCGAGTCCCATCCACCATGTAAAAAGGTGCATGCGGTATGGGGTAATTTTGCCAACTAGTTAAGTTCCTGCACGAACTTAATTAGTGCTATAGGCAAATTTTCACTGAGTTTTAGTTTTAATACTTTGCAACTTTTAAGCACTATATATAATCGATCAATTAAGTGAGGTTTGGGGAATTCCAGCACTTAGTAATCCATATAATTATTTGTTGAATTGACAAGTGTATATGTATGGTTCACATTTTATCCATTTGTTATTTACATAATGCGTTACGAATTTTGGTATATTATCTATTCGGCTCATTGATGCTCACAATTTCTTAATTATTAGTACAATTGTTGTGGAACACGTTTGACATCCACAAGTTAAATTAAGAAAAAGTAACGAGAAGAAATATGAGAAAGAGACCAGATCAAATCAATGCAAAAATTTCTGGAAATAAAACTAAAAATGTGCATATCAATTTTATGGACTTTTCTGCCTTCTGTATCTCTAAAATCAAGCATAGTTCGATCTCTTTGATTAAATTACTACACATGTTTTTCGTTTTAATTCTGTAACGAATTGTGCTTAATTTTCTGAAATTGGTGATGTTCTTTCCTAAACCCATTGTTTAATTGTGCTTAATTTTCTGAAATTGGTGGTGTTCTTTCCCGAACCCATTGTTTTCTCCATGTGATTTTCTTCGGAAAAGTTTAGTGAGACCCTAGCCCTTTTTCTTGGAATAAGTTAATGGAATTATCATTTGTTCTCAAGAAAAACATTACTGATCAAATTGAAAATCCTAAGAACCTGGTTTTATGATTCTTAAACCTAGTGAAGCTAAAGATAATAGCAAGATATATGGAAGCTCTTTTACCACAATACGGAAGGAAATTGGGGTAATGAGCACAAAAACTAGTGATGACTCTCATGATTTATGATTGCGGCAGGTAAGGATTCCCCAAACCTTTGCCACCAACAGCTCCATCATAACTTCTATGTTTCAAAAGTGCACGAGATATAGTAACACAACGATGAAACAGTGTGTGTTAGCAAATTCCAACAGTAAGAATTAGTTAGTAATAAAAGGTTATTAACAAAGCCAGCTAAAAGGAAAGAAACGTACAAAAACCCATAACTCGCTCAGCAAACAATCAATTAGACATCATACATTAAACCTATTCACTTAATATTCATAGGCAAATAATCTAACATCAAGCTTGTAGCTTGTAATACGTAATATGTTTTAACTCAACGGCAGGAAAATCTCCAGGCAAATATCTCCCATCCGTCCATCCGCAGAGCATCGACTTTTCTAATTATTCTTATACTGTCTGTTTATTTTTATTCCATATGTGTATATATTCTCTTTGCAGTAGTAACCAAAGCACATTTTTTTAAGACTTAAAAAGTGATTATCAATGGCGAAAATACGATAGGAATGAATATATACTTTGTAAGTTGTAATACAATAAAAGAAAGAAAGAAAAAACTGGTACTGTAAATACATATCCTACAAATAAATCCCAGCTACATATAATAAATTAAGAAGGTATGGTACCTAGCTAGCTATACACAACTGTATATAATTGAACTACCGATGATGCGTCATATTAAGTATTGTCACGGTATCATAATTGGTTAAGTCATTTTTCGTCACTTACCTCGATTTTTTTCTCACTGCAAAATGATTGAATGGTGAATGATAAAAAGAACAGCAGCTATCTATGTAGGTTCTTCGTTATCACCACCACCACCACCGCGACCAATGGCTCTCTTTCAAGCAGTAGTACTAGTACCAGCAGCTAGATTTAACATTATCTAGTGATCTGAATTAGGAGAAATCCACGAGTCCACCGCACCTTCACCTCTAGTAGTAGAATTAACATTGCCCATCTCCAAACACTTGTCCAAACTAGGCCTCAAATGGTGATCATGTGATGATAATCCCCCATCCCTTGATCCAAGTACTCCATGATCCCTCCAGCCTCCATTCCCATCTGAAGCTGCTACATGGCTGTCGTCTATTGATCCAACACCATCACCACCGAGCTGGTTTGTGTTAACATATGGTGATGATCCATGACGGTTCGGACCCAATTGGTCCTCAAGTGATGAATGCATGGCCAAATTATCAATTACTCCCCGGGGGGTAGGTCTTGCCCCAAAATTAGGCACATTGATTGAAGAATGGAATGGAGGAGGCTGCTGTGGTAGGGATTGGAATGTGAGAATAGGGTTTTGCATGCTTTGGAAGAGGCCTTGATTTTGATGATGATCAGATAGTAATTGGTAATTAGTTGAACTGAAATTAACATTGCTATTATTACTAGTAGTAGCAATATTAGTAGCATCAACCATAGTACTAATACTATTGCTCATCATCATCAACAACGAAGAATTAGAATTAGAAGGAGAGAGAAATGGGGCTGGCTGATGGACCTTTTGAGCCGAAGGACGTAAAGGGTAGAGAGGTGACCTTGTTCCGGAGCCAAACATTTCGAGTCTTCGAGCGTATGGTGATGAGGATGAAGCTGAAAATGGGGGTGCTGGGATACCAGTGAACTCCTGCACCATTGCCCGAAAATTAGACGTGTCGGTGGTGAGAACGGTGGTTGGTGCCCTTCTAGAAGCTCTTGTCCTCTTCTTCGTGTTTCGGGTGGCAACGGTGTTGGTCTGTCCTCCTCGTGCTTCTGTAGTAGTTGATGAAGGTTGTGGGTTGGGAATGGGGTTGGTGGAGTTGGGTTGATTGGATCTTGGGCTGGGGATGAAATTTGGGTTTGATGAGTTTGGTTGGGGATGAGACAATGTTGTGTGGAAATGATCGTAAGTGTAATTACTAGATGAGAGATGATGATCAAAAAGTGTTGTGGTAGTGGGTGGGTGGTTTTGGTATTGAGAAAGGAGAGATGGGTGTACTGTTGGGTCGGAGGTAGCAAATAAGTGGCCGGTCGGAGAATTCAAGTAACCCGGGATCGAATCGGGTCTAGAGATTTCATGGTCTTGAGTTTCACCACCACTTGAAGATTGCATACTTCCACTATTACCAGAATCCATGGCTACTATGAACAAGAAGATGGAGATGGTCACAAATTATTTGGAGAGAGAGAGAGAGAGAGAGAGAAGAGAGAGAGAGAGAGAGAGAGAGAGATTATGAGGGTAGTGGGAAAAAAGGCATGGTGAAGTGAATGGAAGACTGATACAAATATTTCATATCTCCTTGTCTAAGAACAGCTTTTTGAGAGAGGGAGAGAGAAAGAGGAACGTGTCTTTATCATTGAAGCCCTGAGATCTGAAATTGGAAGCAAAATCTTTTCCTTGTCTTTCAGTTGGAGAGCCAAAAGTTTCTATTAAAAGAAGAGAGAATATAAAAACTGATGGATGGATGGATGGATGGATGGATCGGAGAGAAGGAGAGGGTCTCCTTTTCTTCTTTCTTTTTGTTTTTTGATTTCTTTGGGAACTACTTTTTTCTGTGATTCTTTTTTCCCTATATGTTTTGGAGGGCTGAACTGCTAGGGTTTCAGAGAAGCAAAAGAGAGATGAAAGAGGAAGGAAAGGTTTATTTATTTAGTCTTTCTGCTCTTGAGACAAAGAGAGAGGGGGCTCAATTCTCAAGCTTTAGAAAGATCCTCTATCTCTAGAGAGAGAGAGAGTGCTGGGTGGGGTCGCCATTGGAGTAGGAAAAAGGAGGGTGCCGGTGGCTGGCAGCGGGTCAAATTCAAAGTGAGAGAGAGAGAGAGAGAGAGAGAGAGAGAGGGAGAGAGAGAGGATGACTGTGAATTGTGAAAGGAAGACTGTGAATTGTGAAAGGAAGAAAGCGATATGAAAGTTAAAGGTTGGAAATTCACAAAATTAATTTACCAAAAAATAATTTTTTATAAAGGAATTTGGCAAAAATAATTGAATTATACTGTTTTCTTAAGAAATTAAATTGAATTAAAAGTGAAACGAAGAATTTGCTAGAACTAGAAAGTAGAAAACAAGGAAAGAGGCGGGCTAACAACTAAATTGGGCAGAAGGCTAGAAGGGAACGAAACCGCTACTTTCCCTAGGCTCAATCTATATCGCTATTACTATTTTTTTTTTTTTTGTTTTTTTTTTTTTTTTGGAAAACTATCGCTATTACTGTTTTGAAACTTCTCCTGTCTTATCTTTTTGCCTATGTCTTTCATGTTGATACTGAAAATAATTATCAAATGAACTAATTTAGGTAACAATGGCAAGCCTTGGGATAATATCATATTCTCTTTGTTCATCATCAAATTAAGTATATTATCCTTTTCTATATTTATTTACCAAATCCAAACTTAAAAACAAGAAGTTATCGTGGAGACACTCAGACACATAAGAATTATTTGATGAAGAGACGAGATTATATTATTGGATGAACTTTTGGAGGTCATGTGCAAAAATTATAAATATGGATATCTTTAATATAGGGCTCTTTAAAAGTACTTTTAAAATGGATGAAAACACTTTTGATGAAAATGTTTTTGGAACTAATCCTTAGTAAAATGCAAGTGAATATTGGAAAAACACTTAAAGTGAAAATAGTTGTGCTTTTGGAACCCAAAAACATCTTCTTTAAACATGCTTTCAGTTATTTTAAAACACTTCTAAATGAACCCATTGTTGTACTTTCATGCGCAAATGGAAGCGAATTCTAACAAAGTATCAAACATTAACGTTGTAGGCGAAAACTAAAACTAACAATCTTAAAATAACACGAGATTTACGTAGTTCGATATAAAAGCCTACGTTCATGCACGAAGCACAACGATGAATTTCACCAAACGAAGATTACAAAAGAGAGTTTAAACTCTCACAACTTGTTGACCCTAAAAACTATTTAGCCAACGTGGCACGCGAGCTAAATAGCTAATGAGCTAACTACGTCATTTTGTTGAATACGGGGTGTGTCAACTCAACGAATGAGCTCAGTTGGTGAGTAAATGAATATGGTGGTGGTGGTGTCGAATGCACTGCTGACTTATGTGTTTTGTGATTGCGACGGAGGAAGGAACTCGTCTCGGCCTCTAGGTTTTAGAGCCCGAAGACAAGGCTGCTAGTTTCTTCGAAGTTAACGAATCGTCGGCACTGGGCTCGATCGCTGTAATTATATTTGTGCAAATATAAGTTCACCAAATCAATATCAGACTATACAGACACAAATACTCAAAAGAGATAAGTGTCTTGATGGTAAATGTGGTTCGGCCGTCTGAATGCCGAACTCTGAAATGCACTTGTAAATATCCTCATAAAATAAATTCGACTTTCAATGTGTCAAACGATGTAACCTGGTAACACCTGACTTCGTTGAGAAAGCCAATGAAGTGACCTCTTCTAACAAAGGCTTAAAGACTTCTTCCTGGCCGAGACTTGGATAAATAACCAGTCAGTCTCGAAACAGTGTTGTTAAGGCTAACTGAAGGTGCTCCTTGGTCGCTTGATTCTACGGCTCCAATGTTGTTATCACTGGTTATCAACCACAGTGCTATTAAGACCAACTAAAGATGTGCTCGACAAAGTTAAAAAGGTTAGTATTTTCTTAGGATTGAGAGGGTTTCACGTAGAGCGAGAGTTTGCGCAAGACAAACTTGTTAATTTGTGTGTTTGAAAAGGCTTTGAATGTTGCACATCTTCTTCTATTTATAGTAGCAACTTTCCTTGGTGCCAAGGTAGAATCCTATTTGGACTAGTCTTCCTCGGCATATATTATTTTATATGAATTGGACTCGATCAATTCTACCAGACTTGGGATTGTGAACCTATCCATCTTCTAGTATCTAATATGTTTCCTTATTTTAACTAGACTCTTAGAATATTAAGAACACTCTCACACCATCCTGATCTTTGAGGACTCCTAATTGAATTAAGCCTTAGCCGAACCCACCCTTGCAATTCAAGTATCCTTCCTCAATTTGGACTCGTCGAGAGTATTCTGGGTTGGGCTAAGATGTTTAACCATGGGCTAAGCATATGACCATATGTGGCCTCACTCTATTAATTTGGGCCCAAACATAACCCAAATCCCATAATGACAAACCCTAAACCAAATGAGTAAAGAACCGAGTATCTCCTAAATTGTTCTCTAACTCACAAATTGACTCTCACCAAATTTCCAAACGAGTATTCTGGGCTGGGCTAAGATGTCTAACCATGGGCTGAGCATATGACCTTACTCGGCCCTAATCTATTAATTTGGGCCCAAACACAACCCAAATCCCACACCGACAAACCTTAACCGATAACAAATGGAGTAGTCTCTCCCAAATTATTCTTTAACACAGAAATTAACTCTCACCAAATTTCCAAACGAATGAGCATAAGTTTACCACACACTATGACTCTAAACGGTGGCCTCCACCCAAAACCCAATTAGAGAACTTAGGTTACAATGAGAATCCTAATACTAATTGGAAGTAAATCCAAATCTTAATCAAATAGGTAATTAACAAAATCTCTCCATCAATCAAGGAATCCAACCAAGAAGTCAAATCCAAACCCAAATAAGACACCAAGAAAATAGGTAGCATAAACCTAATTTCTGAATCATCTTAATTTTGAGCTGTATATCCTAATAACACCCATAGCCTTCCAAAGAAGATAAGTTAATACTTGGACAATATATTGATGCCAAAATGTAACTTTGACTAAATTCTGAATAAAACTTACAAATACAACTCATTATCAATTAACAAAGTTTATCAACCGTTGCAAATAATATTAAAGAAGCAAAGAGACCTACAAATGAAAACCATCAACAATCAATTCAATCGTCACTAACCATATCAGTGAAAACTTCAAAACATATGGGATAATCACTTGTGGCAACATATCAAAGTCATTAACATATAATACATTTTTGTAGGCCCCTTTTTAATTAGAATATAGGGTAATGGGAGTTGTACGTGGAACCTTTTAAATTGGGAGCTATGTGCTAAACTTACAACACCTCTTAAAACCCTTCAACTATGGCCCTGCATCTAGATTTGAGACAAAATCGTCGGATCTGCAAAAAGGACAAATCCAGTTGAAACTCTATCGAACCGCAAGCTGATAAAACAAAACCTTAAGGCCCTGTTTGGCAGATCGGATAAAGGATCAGATAGGATTAGTTATACGGACTCGGGTGTTTGGCGTTCACTCGTACTAAATAAGCGCCGGATTAATTTAACCGGTCGGATAGGATAATACGATATACACCCGCTTAATAAAACCAACCAAAACGCCCGGATTATTTAGTCGGGGAAGAAGAATATGGGAGAGAAAGGGAGGGAGTTTGGGGGGTGTGGCGGAGAGAGCTAGGGAACAATTATTTGAGATTCTTCTGCAGTCGGGGGAAGAAGAAGGGAGAGAGAGGGAGGGTGTTTGGGGGGTGCGGAGAGAGCTAGGAACAAAAAAAATGATTTCACTTTTTTTTTTTAAATTTTTTTTTTTTAAGTTTGATTCCTCCTATCTAGTATAATACCAAACACAGTATAAATAATACGGTCACTAGTTCGATACTGCACCAAACACCCGACTAATTTAGTCAGTACTATTCGGTGGCTATTTATCCTATCCGACAGAAATAGTCAGTACAGTCCGAGCTGCCAAACGAGGCCTAAAATAATAAGGCGAAACACGTTACCAAAAATATGATATTCGTACATTATTGCTAATAAAAGAAAATAAAAAGTTTAGGACATTTTTTCATTATTTTTTAGCAGAAATGGAAGTGATGTATAGATAATTAACGTAACACAATCTTCATCTAGAATGTCTCGGATAAAGTTAAGAGATTTTTCAAACCAAAAAGACTCATGTTCCATAAAAAAAATGCTAACTTGGACAATATGTGAGCTACATTGTTAGCAGAATGTTAGATGTGACAAATTCAAAAACTAGAAAATGAATGAAGGCTAATTTTGATGTCGTAAGCCACTGAACTTAGCGGTGAGAATTCAGCTAGCAAGCTACCAACAGCCTAAATTAGATTAGTTAAGTCACTTTTGAAGAGGATGCTATTGCATTGGTGCTTAGGTATCATATGAAGTATGAAAACTCTCTTTGGTGGTGATTGATTCTATCTTGATCAGCTAAAGAAGGTCATCTGCTTGTTGTTATGTTGCCTAGGGGCTCCATCTTCATCATCAACTTTACTTGCTTGAACATTATTTGGATTCGGAACTTGATTATTTGGTTCTCTATGACCCATTGGTGTAAGACTAGATCTCCAGTTAGAAACTCTTATAAAGCCCATCCTCCTTTTTGGGTTCCCCTCCCCTTGAAGATTTCACATTTTGCATAGTTTATGGCAGAGTTGGGCTTTCTTTAATATACCTTGGTGAAAAAAAAAGATTGGACCAACCCTTAGTTATTTGCTAATATATGATGCCTCAGGATACTTCTTATAGTTTTGCTACCATAGCACTTCCACC